CCCATAATTATGCTAATTGAAAAACACCATCTATAAGACTATAAACCAATTATTTAGCTGTCCATAAAACGAAATAGAGAGGAGAGAAGTAACCTTAACCTTAATTTAGGTGTAATAAATGTAGATTGACTTCTCTTTTAACGTCAAGTGACCACTAAATTTAATAATCTCCATAAAGCTAAACTTAAAGAAGCAMAAAAAMAAAAAGGGGTCTACTTTGGTCTAGCTAGATTCTCGATTTGAATCTACATTTTAAGCACTCAAGAGTGGAAACTTATACTTGGATTATAATTAGCTTCACATGATATCAGAGCTAGTTTGCATTTAACATACAAATATGTCTTGTAATAAACATAAAGCAAATGTAATACGGATCGAGAAATAAATCATTTCATATTGGGAGACAGCTTTGCATATACGCGTCCATGCCTATGCATGTAAGATTAATTTAACAACTCTCTCTTTTTTTTTTTATTACTTGTTTTGTTAGAGAATTCCAAGTGTTATTGCAATCACCATGGGGTATTAAATGTGATAGTGTAAATGCACCTGCAACATATCAACTAACTACACACTCCTCCACCTGTTTGTATTTACTTCCAAAAACATTTTTCAAAACTTCCTTCCCTCTATTTATAAACCCTACTTTCAACTTTCATTCTACACACCAAGGACACCATTTCCAAAAGACTCTCTCTGTGAGATTTTTCAGAAATGAGAGGGATGGTGAGTTTTACCATTTGGGCTCTGTTTGCTGCTTTACTCTCACAGCAACTCTTTGCTTCTGTTGCTTCCATACGTTTTGAGGATGAGAAAACATATTACTTATCTCCTCCCACTGGTAAGAACACAACACACACATTGTAACTTCTTTTATGCATTTGACTGACTTAAAGCTTCAAGAACTTGACTCTTTTGTTTGACATGCAGGAACCCCTCCATCTCACACTCCAGATCCTTCAACACCATCATACACTCCTCCTTCTAACTGTGGAAGTCCACCTTACGACCCTTCAACTCCTCCAACTCCTAAAACTCCATCTCACACTCCAACTCCTAAAACTCCAACTCCTAAGACTCCAACTCCTAAAACTCCTTCACACACTCCAACTCCTAAGACTCCTTCACACACTCCAACTCCTAAAACACCATCACACACACCTCCTTGTAGCTGTGGAACTCCACCGTCACACACTCCAACTCCATCACACCCTTCCACGCCTTCACATCCTCCTTCTGGTGGATATTACTCATCTCCTCCACCAAGTACTCCCATTGTTGTGACTCCACCAACACCAATTGTTGATCCAGGTACACCCATCATTGGAGGAAGCCCACCAATTGATCCAGGCACTCCTGGAACTCCTTTTGTTCCTGCTCCTTTCCCACCATTCACTGGAACATGCGAGTATGTGACAAAAACATTCTTCTCTCTTAACACATAGTGTTGATTTCACACTTCATGAGTTTTTGTTTATCTTTGTGAAGTTACTGGAGAAACCACCCTACATTGATATGGGGTTTGCTTGGATGGTGGGGAACTGTTGGAGGAGCTTTTGGTACAGTCAGTGCTTCCAGTACCATTCCAGGGTTTGATCCTCACATGAACCTCCTTCAAGCACTTTCAAACACCCGTACCGATGCAATTGGATCTCTCTACCGTGAAGGAACAGCGTCTTGGTTAAACTCAATGGTCAACAATAGGTTCCCTTTCACTACTCCTCAAGTCAGAGAGCACTTTATGGCTGGACTTTCTTCAACCAAAGCAGCCACAAAACAAGCACATACCTTCAAGCTTGCTAATGAAGGTCACCTAAAGCCAAGAATCTGAAAAGACAAGACAAGAGTTTCATTTTCTCATCAGTTGTTTGTTTGGTTTATAATTAAAAACAATCTAAATTAATTATCCTATGCTCTGTTTGTGTGTGCTCAGTAGAGTTTTTAAGTGTCCTCCTATAGCCTCTCTAGTAATATTTATGGTGGATACTCCTTTCTATTATTAATGTCTCTGTTTCGAAAATTTTCTTGGTCTTAAATAAGATTTAGTAGTTCTCTTGTTTCTTCAATCACTGTCGAAGAGTGTCCAAAAGAAATGCATCCCATGCAAATAAAACTGAAAAAGAATACAGAAACATTGATTTCTCTAAAAGATTATAAACATTAATATCAAAAGAGAGTTCTAACATACTTCATTCAAAGTCTAAAAATGGATTGACATGTCTAGAGACCAACACAAATGTCATAATTGCTCCATTAAATTTGTTCATGAGGATTTCTTACTATAAGTGATGTGTCATCAAGTCCAT